GGGGCAGAAACGGAGCAGTATCTAAGGATCAGCGTTCTGGCTCCTTCCTGTAGCGCCCCCGCCCCCGCATCCCATGAGCGAGTGGTGGAGGTGCAGGTGCCCATGAGCAGCGAGGAGGGATTTCACAGATACCCACGCACACCCCAGAGCCTCTTTCAGGCGTGACCTCTGGAAGCCGTCCTCATCCTCCTGCTCCCCTCTCTCCAGCCACTCTAGCTCCCCCTGCTGCTCTGACTTCTTCCCCACAACTCCAGGGGCTGCGGGAGCAGGGCCCACCTGCAGGCAGCAGGCTTCACTGTGTGCCTGCCCTCCCCTGCCAGGGTGAAGCCAGAGCTCCTGCAGAGGCCTGACCGGGCTGTCAGAAGCTGGAAGGGAGGAGAAGCGGCTGAGGATGTGAGGGCTAAGTGGATGGAACGAACCATCCTGTTTCAATCACTCAATTTGGTTGTTGTCCAATTTGCCTTAATAGGAGGAAGAACCGTCTAGCAATTAGAGCTGTTTGCAAGGGAAGTGGCTGCCTTGTGGGCTCCCTGGCACGGGAGGTGGTCCTGCCACAGAGGCTGGACAAGCACTGGTGTGGGGTGCTGTGAAGAATTTCGGAAATTGGAGGGGGCTTGGAGGATTTCTTCTCCAATGATCTTTAAGCTCCCTTCCACCCCCAGTCCTGAGACGGGAAGACTCTGGACTCCTGGATCTCTCGTTGAGGGCGCCTCTGAACCTCTCCCCTCGCCTTCCCCCACCAAGGCCGCTGGGATTCTCGACTCCTTCAGAAGGAGAAACCCTTCCAGGGAGGAGAAGTCCCCACCCCAGGAAAGCGGGGCAGGGGAGGGCTGGCCTGCTCACCTGCCGGTACCAGATGTAGGTGGTCAGGACCTGGTTCTTCTCATCCTGGGAAAGGAAAGTGAGCTCAGACAGGTGGCCCTGCAGGCTGGGGGCCCACCCTGTACACACCACCCCCAAAAGGAGCTGCTTCCTTGTGCCTCTGCTTCCCTGGGAGGTAAGAGTGAAGAAAGGGGCCCGGGGTGGGGGGTGCATAAGCTGGGGCTGCCAGCCAGCCAGGAAAGGTTGGGCTTTTACTAGGAAAGAGACAATGATTATTTCTTTTTCACGTTCAAATATATATATGCACATATATATTATACCTACTCTCTATTATTTCCTATTGTGTTACACACATACACACACACACACACACACACACACACACACACACACAAACACAGCTATACAGCCTGCCTTGGTATTAAGATGAAATCAAAAAGTACAAAGCCACATAGAGTGAGAAATTCATCACTTTCCCAAATCCCCCGTCCAGTTCCCAGTTTCCCTCCCTGAAGCCCCACAGCAACCAGTATATTATGTTTCTGCTCAGAGACGTTCTAAATGCAGTGACATCATTCTGTATCGAGGCAGTGACAGTGACTGTGACGGAGACTTTAAAGTCAGGTCCACCCACCCAACCCTAGCACAGGGCCACTGCATCTCTGCAATTGCCTTTTTGTTTAATTAATTGATTAATTAAGTGATCTGTTGGTTGATTCTTCAACAACCATTTAATGATGCTGCCACGTACCAGGGACCTGTGGAAGGCACAGAGAACACAGAGATGAATAGGACAGTCTTAGCCCGACATAGAGCGATGGTTGCCCTTATGCAATGTCTGAAGAACCATGTGCAGGAAGAGACCTATGGGCTGTAGGGGTGTGGGAGAGACAGCCACACAGGTGACCCCGGTTTCTGGTGTGGGCAGCTGTGCAGATGGTGTTGCCATCCATGGTCAGCTGTGGTCCCAGACCTTGGGTACTATGGGTTCTCGAAGGACCACTATGCTTTCCAGGGAGTGACTTGGTCTCACACGCTGCCTTCTATCCCCAAAATGTCTCCCTACGAGAGGGGCAGCTTGGAGCTGAGTACTTACCACGCTGAGGATGGCATAGACGATGACGTCAATGGACACAGTGGTTGGCTTCCTCCAGTTCCACACGGGCCGCACCCCCTTCTTGTAGTTGGCCAAGAGGTGATCAGACAGCCTCAGCAGCGTGGGCCTGCTGGCGTTCCGGCCCTGGGGGCTCCCCTGCCGCCGGGCTGGGAAGGAGAGTGGTTCAGTGTGGTCACCAGAGCCCAGGCCTTCGCCTAGTTCCCTTGCCCTGGTTTGCAAGCTAAATCCCTACGTAGCCCCACAGACTAGAATTCTCACCACTAGAGCATTTTGTCTGCAGAGATTCCCACCAAAATAAAGTGGTGGCTGCCTAGAAGCCACCTGTTTTCTCATTTACATCAGAGCAGGCATGTGGCCCACAAGCAGAGGTGACAGGAGACAGGTGAGCTTTGAAGAAGGCTGAGAAAGGTGCAGAGGAGGGGGCTCTGTGGGGTCCTGGTTTTGGGGTCTTGGGAAGCAAAAGGGAAGCTGGCTGTCACTGGGTGATACTAGAAGGTGGGAGGGGTGCAAGAAAGTGTGACTGCAAGTGCACAGTTTCCAAGCTTAACGGTCTGCATCAGGGTTGTCCTCAGCTGAGGTCCGATCTCAGCGTCTGCACAGACCACTATCTCCTTGCCCCCAGCCTGCAACTGGGGAAGAAAGAAGGAAGGGTGGACATCTGGAGGAAACAGACGTTGTCTCTCCTGCTCTCTCTCCACCCTAAATGATCCCCTCCCCCCTCTCTCCATGCACATACAGGCTAAGGGGGAAGGGTTTGCAGGAGGGCTGCTCTACAGGCAAACTGGATGGGCTTAGGAGGAAGGTTCAGGAGAGGTGTGGAGGGAGCAAGGAGAAACCAAACTGCTCCCAGGGCAGGAGGCCTGCAGGGACAAAGTCGTGATGAAGAAGCCAATTCCTAGGCCCTAGTCCTATTCTATGCGGATTTCACGTGCACCCCAGTGTCCGCTCTGGGGACACTAGGAGCACTTTCTGAAGGGAGGCGTGGAATATGAAGGTGAAAGTGCATGGGGTGGGGAAGGGGGTACACACTGGAGGACCACGATACAGGCGGCAAAGAGGAGATGGGAGTGGGCGGGTAGACTGGGGTCTTTCGAAGACCAGGCGCCAGCAGGCCGGGCTCTCACCAAGCAAGACTGCCCCTTCCTCATCCTGTGTGCAGCCTGCACAGCAGATCAGTACTACAGATTCCCTCTCACCCCGCATCCCTCGTAAGGTTTAGGCTTCCTTTAGGACAGAGAGGAGCAGACAGAGAGAGGGAAATCAAGACTGTCTTTTTTAGTGCCTCCTTTGGAATAACATCAATTAACCTAGTCTTCATTTTTACCTTAGAGCAGTCCACCAGAGTGGCTGTTTACAGACAAGGATGCCCAGAGCTCAGAAGGGTATCGTGCCCTATAGGTGCACGAACTGAGATTCAAGTCCAGATCCGTGTGTGTGTCTCTGCTATACTGGCGACAGCCCAGATCCTATTGACTGGGACTCTAACCGGCGTGGAGAGAGCCAGACTGTCCCTGCAGACCTCAGAGCAAAGGACCATGGCTGGGAGGGACAGAGCTTCTCCCCAGCTTGTGTTTGCCTAGCCCACTCAGCATCTCCAGATGACAGCTCCTCTCGCCCACAGCCCTGCACCTCTGTCCAGTCCCCAGATGGCGTCCTTCTAATTGTGCCCCAACGTGCTCCAAACCAGCTGTGCAGGGAAAGAACCCTTCCAAAGGAGAAGGAACAAAATCTGCAGCGAAGGGAAACATATTCCTTGTATTCAAGGGAGTCAGGAGGACTGGATGGGGGTAGGGAACGCAGGGAGAAGTCTGGCATTACTGGATTTTAAGTTCTGGAGGGGAACTTGCAGAAATGCAGGCCCAGAGAGCTAATGCAACAAAACCAGAGAAGTTGAGGCCAGATGATGAGATTAGTTCTGGTCCGCACTCTGCTGCCAACCAGCTGTACGCATTACTCCCCCTCTCTGGACCAGGCATTCCCATTTATAACAGGAGGGGCCAGACCAAATGAGCTCAGAAGTCCCTTGCAGCTGCCATTCAATGAGTTTAGGGGCAGGGCAAGGGGAGAGGAGCCCTTCTCCTAGTGCCCGTGTCTGTTTTTCCAAAACACTACGAGGCTGCTCTTCTGTTCCCCTCGTTGCAAGTCCTGCTCTCGCCCCAGGACTCAACTTTCCCAACTTTCTAGCTCAAAATGCTCTTGGCTTATACGTGGTAAGATAGCTGATTTTCCTGCAACTACACCACTCCCAACCCTCCTTACCTCAACCCTCTGAAGGTGGAAGCATCCCCTACCCCACCTGCCAAGAGGGCCAGCTGAGTCATGCTGTGACCCTAAAATGCTTACCTTCTCCCTGTGCCAGCAGCGTGGGGAGGAGCAGCATGAGCAGCGCCTGCCGGGCCCACGGCAGCATGGCGAGCTTCCCGCGTGGGAGTGCCTCCGAGTGGCTGCTCAGGGTGAGCCCCTCCAAGGGCCAGCCTGCCCGCCCGCTGCCAGCCTCATGTCCCAGCCAGCCTGCCTCTCCGGGTCGCTGCCTGCACCTTCTGAGGCTGCAGGCTCACACTCCCTGGGCCACCAGGGTTGGGGAGCCGCCAAGTTTTCCAGCAATCAGACCTTCAGCTGGATCAGGTTTCGGGCGGGAGGAAGGAGGAGGGAATGGCCGAGAGGGGAGCCCGCCCTGGCTGATGTCATATGGCGGGAGCTCAGTCCACCCTTTCAGCCAGGTGGCGTGGCCATGATTCCCCTGAGGAGTGAATTGGGGACAGGGGCTGCAGGAGCCCGTGGAGCATGGGTGCAACCTGTTTGCTGGGAGGTGCACCAGGGTGCTGCTTTCATTTCTGTCCCTTGGCAAGTATGCTTCAGTGGCACTGGGCTGGGCAGGGGAGGGTGAGTCAGGCAGGAGCCAGAGGGCCATTCTCTTGCTCTTCAGGGTGACATAGTGCTCCTAGCCAAGCAGGTGACTGGGAACCTCCGCAGACGTGGGAAAGGTACCTGAGGTCGCCACAGGTCTGCCTTTTTGTCATCATACTTAATACTAAGATGTATATTAAAAATAATAAAATATATGTAGTCAAAAATATATTTTATGCATTTTACTATACATAGTATTAAATACATATATGTGGTAAAAATAATAATAATATATGCTCATTATAGAAAAATAAAAAGAAAATTTTAAATCATCCATAAACTTACCGCCCAGAAACAACCACTGTTAATATTTTGTTATATATTCTTCTATGCTTTCCTTCTATAATATGTATGCAATAAAGTAAATATACCACAATACAAATTTTTTTGCTTAGTATCATTTCATAAGCATTTTCCATATCTTCCTTTTAAATGTGGCTTTCTTTTAAGAAGTGTTTCTTTTCTCTTTGTAAGTTAAATAGTTAAGTAGCTATCCCTCAAGCACTCAACTGTGTGCCCCTAAAGCTGCCTGAGGAAAGAATTGCTGCGAATTTCTATTTGAAGGAGTCCCACCCCAGTTCACCACTTGGGTAAATGTGAACGTTTCTACCTCAACTGTGTTGCAGACAAGATGCACCTGCATCAGTCATGGCAAGCTTCAACTACAAAAACATTTATTCCTTTTCATTTCTTTTCCAGGTGAAGCTAAGTGTGGAATTGGATGGGAACACTAGGAAGGAAGAATGTTCTGAATTGTAACTAAGTTTCAAAAAAGAGAAACCACCTTGGTCAGGGCTGAGTCCTTTGTAGTTTTTGTTGTTGTTGTTGTTGCACATGTCTTTTTTTTTTAGTGTATCCTTTTTAGTTTTTATTTATGCACATCAAGGAATCTGCATGTAGCATTGAGCCATTTGTTGATGGAGTCCCTTCATATGGCCATCAGCCAGGGTTTGGCTCTGGAATGTTCAGTCAAGTTCAGGGAGCTTGGGATATGCTTCTCTTAAGCCATATGTTTCATCACTGCACAATCCAGAAAAACAAGGAAAATCAGCTCCAAGAATTTCTTTTATGGGAATAGAGATGAGGATAAATGGTAGAATAGGGGGCCCTAACGTTCTAGAGATTTTATAGAGCCAGACCTTCCCAAGATGAATGTTCTCAGACCCCAGGTTTGACACAGGACAAGATGAGACAAGAAAAACCGAGTGCCTCCTGGGCCACCAAGCTCAGAGTCAGTGCTGTGGACTCCTAAATGCGTCTTTGGACCCAACAAAGATTCTTAGGCTCCTGCTCTCCTGCATTCATGGCCATTGCCACCCATAAATCTGCTGCAAATTTCTAGAGGACTTTCTATTCTTGTATGTGCCTTGTGAAATCTGCATACAGCGTTACACCATTCTTTCATGGGGTTCCTTCATATGGCCATAAGCCAGCCAGGGTCTGGCCTTCAGCAGTAAGAAAACCATTGGCGTCACCATCATAATCATTTTATCAGTAAGGAACAAGCAGATATAGAATTGCCCCCCTGCCCCCTGCACCCTAACCACTATCCCCACATGCCCCATCTTGTACTCTGTGGGGTGCTTTGTGTATCTATCCAGTGTGGCTGGGCCCATTCCTCCCACAGAGCCAAGCCATTTGGAGACAGAGCCAGGAAGAAGCATTAGAAACTGGACTCTTTCTGCAAGCAGTAGCACCAACGCAGGAGGAAAAAGGGCAAGAAGAAGTAGCAGGTAAAACAATATAAAAGAGGTTGGGGCCAGGCGCCGGTGGCTCACGCCTGTAATCCTAGCACTCTGGGAGGCCGAGGCGGGAAGATTGCTCAAGGTTAGGAGTTCGAAACCAGCCTGAGCAAGAGCGAGACCACATCTCTACTATAAATAGAAAGAAATTAGTTGGCCAACTAATATATATATAGAAAAAATTAGCCGGGCATGGTGGCGCATGCCTGTAGTCCCAGCTACTCGGGAGGCTGAGCCAGAAGGATCGCTTGAGCCCAGGAGTTTGAGGTTGCTGTGAGTTAGGCTGACGCCACGGCACTCACTCTAGCCTGGGACAACAGAGTGAGACCCTATCTCAAAAAAAAAAAAAAAAAAAAAGAGGTTGGGAGGAGAAGTAGTACAGTATATAAAAGGATGGAAGAAAAGGAGGATGGGACAAGGAGAAAGATAGGTAGGAAACCATGGAGGAAAAGGAAGAAGGAAACCAAGGAAGAAGGGAAGGGAAAAGAGAGAGGAAAATGGAAGGAGAAAAGGGAGAGGAGGAGGAAGGACGGAGGAGGCTGAGCTATGCACCCAGGGTGGTCTGAGGGGGGCTCTCCCTCCCACCATGGTAGTCTGAAAGTGGGCGCTCCACACCGTGGAGTGGGGTGCCAGCCACGGCGTGTGTGCAAGAAAGCCTGGAGATCCTGTCCCGTGGGGCCCGAGCCTTCTTCTGCGCTGAGCCCCTGGGATCCTCTGGGACTGGCCAATTGGGTTAGGGAGGAAAGAGGCTGTCCTCTGTGCAGCGCGGGCATTAGAGAATTAGCTGCTTAGGTAACAGGATTAGAGGGAGCCGGGCAGGCCGCGGCCCGGGATGGAGATGTATTGTCTGCGGGCCTCTCTGCTGCAGCGGCAATCAAGTTTCCCCCGAAGAGATTTCCTGTTAATGGATTTGATGGCACAACAGACAGAAGGAAGTTGGAGTCATGTGGCCAGTGGCAGGGTGTAAATTACCTCGGATGAAACCGTGGAGTAACTTTTGCCCCTTTTAAACAAGATAAGAATTAGTGCGAGGCCTTGATGAACTTGCCTTGGCCGGCGGGGACGAGGGAAGGGCAGAGACCTGGCTAATTTGATTCCTGCGCTCTGCCTGCAGACGGCCCGGCTCCTCCCCGGGAGTGGAGGCAGACATGCAGATGGCAGCGGGCCAGCCCGGGTAATGAAAAGCTCTGCGGCTGCAGGACCCACAGGCCTGGGCCTTCCCTGCGTGTCCAGCGGCTCAAGCGCGGAGGGGAGGACGACTGTGCTCCCCGTGGGCCTGAGCCTCCCACCCGCAGACAGGTGCTGTCACCACTGTCCAACCCATTGCTGCTTTTCTCGCTCCCATTTTCCGGGTTAAAACATAGAGCCCGTAGAGCCCCCACGACCTGCCTTAATTCCCACGCTGGTTACGGATGCAACTGAGATCTTCCAGACCCCTGGTCCAGCCCCTTCCATGACAGCTGTGTTTCCCGTCTTCTGCAGTAAAATTTTACTAGTCTGTAAAACTTTTACCGCCAAAGAGCCTGACCTTTTAAAGCCTGTAAACTTACCAAAACTCCGCAACCTGGAGTAACATCTGGCCCCACTAGGGGCCCACCTGCTGGGGAAGGGGTGGGGAGACTTACGGCTGTCATCACGGTGCTAACTGGAGGATGCGACCTCATCTTCCCCCGTCACCTTGGGGACAGGGCTCCATGGAGCTCCTCCTGTTGGACACTTAGGTGTGGCCCTTGCTCACACAGTGTCCCTACAGGACCCACCTCTCTCCATGCTGGGGGACAGAGAGGGAGGACAGACAGGTGCACCTTTTCCGACACAGCTTCCAGGGACCTGACACATCCTGGCATGGTGGCTGGAAGATTTATGGGCTGTCTACTCACAGAGAGGGTGGAAACCAGCAGTATGGGAAAATGCCCAACTCAATTTTCCTTGTTCTTCTACCTGAAGAGGCAGAAGTGGCCTTTATAGGGAGGAGAGAGGCACAGCAATGCTCTCAACAGACAGAGAAGCGTCTCTTCCTTCCTGGTCTTCCCCTCTTGATGTCCCACAATGTGTGACCCTGACCTTTTCTCCACCAGGGCCCTGGGTCCTTGGAATGGCCCCACTCTGTACCACCCCACCAACAGCGGCCACTGTTTATCAAGCATATACTGTATGCCAGGCACCGAGCTCAGCTCTTATTTAATCTTTGTTTCCTATGAAGGAAGTATTATTATTATTCCCATACTGCAGATAAAAACATTGAGGTGAAGAGCTGTTAAGCTACCTGTGCAGAGTTACATAGCTAATAAGAGGAGGGTGTGGCACTAGGTCTTCATAGACTCGAACCCCTGGGCTCTTAACCACCTGATGGCACTGAGGACCACAGCATCTTCTCAGACTGAGACCCAGGCCGGTCGGACTCTGGGTCCTGCACCCCTACCTCCCAAATCCTAGAACAGCTGGGCGTCCCACCCCTGGCTTGATTCCTCTTGTTGAAAGGGCTGGCTCTATGAGTCCACTAATTAAAGATATTTTTATTGAAGAGTATCCTAAAGATATATGATAACTTAGACCATGAAGCTTACAATTTTCCCCAGTACAAAGTGGGTCTTCACAGTAAATTTGGCCTGGTGGCCTCTGTAGTCCCTCCTCATGGTGTGGAAGGGATGCTAGGGTTTTGGAGTGTGCTATTACTCTGTTGAGTCTGGGTGCCTGGGGCGATGCTTCATCTGAAGGGTGGGGCCATTTCTTGTCTCCTGTCACATGGGAAAGAGGCCTT